AGGGAGCCTACAAACAGGAGGGGAATCAATTCTTTGAATGGGTTGATAACTGCAGGACAAGGGGAAATGGTTTTCAAGTTGAGGGAGGGAAGATTGAGGTTGGATGTCAGGGGGAAGTTCTTTACAGAGAGAGTGGTGAGGTGCTGGAACAGGCTACCCAGAGAGGTTTTGTGGATGCCCCATCCCTGGAGGTGTTCAAGGCCAGATTGGATGGGGCCCTGGGCAGCCTGGTCTACTATTAAATGTGGAGGTTGATGGCCCTGTATGTGGCAGGGGCGTTGGAGCTTGATGATGCTTGAGGTCCCTTCCGATCCTGGCCACTCTGTGATTCTGTGATTCTGTGAAAGACAGCAGTAGAAGGGATGCAGCAAACCTTATAGCTGGCTGCTCTTGTAGGTGGAGGGCATCAATGGACTCTGATGAGGTCAATCTTGCTCCTGGAGGAAAGTGGCTGGTGGCAAATTCAGTCATTCATTTCTGAACAGACTGTGCCAATAGCACCAATGCACTTACATGTTATAACTTCCATTACCCTGATTGTATTGCATCACAAATGTTAATTGTGAAAATTAGGGGGAAAAAATCAAATGTTTTTAGTCAGTTCATATTTAAATAAATAATTGCTTATTTTGCTATGCCTCTCATTTTTCTCCAGCTGAACTGGTTTCCGGGAACAGATCCTGTAATTTCTGCTGTTATTTGCAATCACCTCCCTGTGGACTGATGACCTGAAACTGCAGCTTGGCTACTTTGCAGTGTCATATCAAAAGGACTTTCTGAGGCACAAATGAACAGTGAGTAGGCTGAGCAAACTGCAATTAATTTGATTTTTTCCCTGAGTAGTTTTTAACACATATGTTATATTGATCAGGTCAGGAAGATAGCATTTGATGGGATCAATCCGTTTATTAGGGGCATGAAATTCCTACCTGATGTCCCATTACCAGCAATCACCTGTGTATGATAGCTTTTGTACTTGATTTGTCTGAAAAGTAATATATTATTATGAGAGAAAGGCTCTGCTACCCTGAAAATTATGGGAGCAACAAATTCTAAGAACAAAATGGGAGAGTCTGCTTACCTCTCTACAAAATTTCCTGGTTTCCTTAAAGCTCATTTGTGTCCTATTAAAACTTCTTAACTATCAACTTAGGTCATAATTGGCCTCTAAGCAGAAAAAAGTAAAGGCTTCATCTAAAGTGATGTACTTTTTGGATCAACACCAAAACACTTCCTCCTGAAAAGTGCAAGTAAAAATGGCTGTGATTTCCAAGATTAAACAACCCAGTGCTGAAAATTAGAATGAGGATATAGATATAAAAAAACACACAGAGAGAATTTTAAAAATAGAAGTATTCATGTTATATGTATTCATAGATATTGATTAGATATCTATAGCACAAATATATTGCATGTAGCCTAGCCACTTCCATCTCACTCCACATTAAACCTTTAGGGCCTAATTCATCTGCCCTGTTTTCAGAAGTCATGCCCTCTAAGGGGGGTTACTCCTGTCCCTTGACTGAAATGGCAGCCAAAGATCACAGAATCATAGAATCACAGAATCACAGAAACACCAAAGTTGGAAAAGACCTTCAAGATCACCCAGTCCAACCATCCACCTCTCACCAGTAGCTCTCAATAAACCATGTCCCTCAACAAAACATCCAAACGTTCCTTGAACGGCTCCATGGTCGGTGACTGCACCACCTCCCTGGGCAGCCCATTCCAGTGCCTGACCACTCTTTCAGACAAGTAGCATTTCCTAACGTCCAGCTTGAATCTCCCCTGGCACAGCTTGAAGCCATTCCCTCCAGTCCTATCACCAGTTGCACGAGAGAAGAGGCCGACCCCCAGCTCACTACAGCCTCCTTCAGGCAGTTATGGAGAGCAATGAGGTCTCCCCTGAGCCTCCTCTTCTCCGGACTGAACAATACCAGCTCCTTCAGCTGCTCCTCATAAGCCCTGTGCTCCAGACCCCTCAGCAGTTTCGTTGCCCTTCTCTGGACACATTCCAGGGTCTCAATGTCTTTCTTGCAGTCAGGGGCCCAAAACTGGACACAGTACTTGAGGTAACTGGGCACAGTAATGATGATTAGCTTGGATACATATATACACCTTTAGGAGCATCTCATTCTCATAATCCAAGGAAGGAAGATCAGGTTACTCAAACCTCTCAGTGTCAGTTTGGATCTACCCATAGAGCCTGTTGTTAAATTAACAGTTAAATTTTAAGGGACAGTGTTATTTGTAGCATTTTATCCCATATGACCCCACCATCAGAGCTGAGTCAGTTCTGTCATAGTTGTACTTGAAACCTCTCTTATCTGGCAATAACTACCTAAAGTGTAATGCTCAGGGCTCTCTGAGCAGAAAATGTAAAGTAATGCCTCCTCCAAATTGCATGTTGAACTGGACCTACTGTGAATACTACGTTATGCCGCTGTTGGAGATTCATTACTCAGTGCCAGCAAGGAAGCACTGGGATAACAGTGAACTCTGCAGAAACCCAGAGGGAACAACTGCTTGTTGCTACCTCTATCATTCTGTGCAAACACTTAACTTTGTATACACGTGTATTTTGCATATGTGTTAAGTAGTGACTGTCTTATTTTGCACCAACTCTTATGAGTTACTTAACTCTACGTAACAGTTGAAGACAGCATATTCAGTACAAGATGTTTTCTCTCACTGAAGGAGAAATAGTAACTGAGATAATTACATAATGACCACTGTGAAAAGTTTGCCAGTCTACTAACCAAGCCAGTACCCACCCAATTTTTAACTTCATTGAAGCAAATTCTGAATTGTCCCTTTCTGAAGATACATAAGGGCAAAACTTGAATATATATATTTAGTTCTTTTCTATATTTAGTCAAATTTTACTTTACAATTGCAAGCCCATACAAAAGCCCAGAACAGCAGCTGCTAATTATCCAGCTATCAAATCAAACCTCAACTGCTGAGTGTGTTCTACATACACTCAACATACAGTTGTGGTAGAGAAAAATTAAATATGGAATATTATGTGGAAGTTTTTGGATTGGTGGAAATGCTCACTGTATTCATTTTGAGTAATGTCTCTGCTCTGACGTTAAGAATGAATAGATGATATTTTTTTTCTGCGCAGTGGAGAAGCTGCATTACTGAGGCGGCTGTCCTTTGAGAACTGGTAAGCTCCTTGTGACTCTAGTTACCCTGACAGATTCAGTTAAGGTGTTGCTTCATTTTTCCCAATTAAAATTTATGACCCAAGGCAGTGATCCATCAAACTAGATAATGTTACTTGGAGCTTACAGTGGCAAAGAGCAGACAGTTCCTGCCACCAGTGAACAGGAAATCTCTATCATTATCTAATATATATTATCACAATAGAAGAGAACTTACTCTAAGAAAAATATGAATGTTACAGGAAACATCCAAAAGCTGCAGTCTTTGATGTGAAGATTACGGACCTTATAGCAAAGCGTAGCAATGAGTTTTAAGTCATTGCAAGTGCCATCTTCATCCTAATGAAACCAGCAGCAGAACACCCACTAATTTCAGCGAACTGAAACATTCCTCTGGATTCAGGTTATGGCTAAATCACCACCTTACTAGTGAGTGGCACATGATGTCTCCATTCTGTGTCATAATACTAAACTCTAAAACTGAAACTATGGGTGTTGTCCCCATCAGCAAGAGAGAACACAAGTCTCAATGTGAATGCTTGCAACCACTCAGACTACTGATGTGAGAGAAATGGGGGCAGTCAGGTAGCTATGGTTTCCTTTTGTTTATCAGAAAAATAACTTAATCTTGCAATTTGTTATGATGAAAAGCATTAAGGAAAAAAAATTCCTCCCATCACGACAAACACTGCCAGACTGTCATGCTGGAATCAGAATCTGATAATGAAAAGCCAGTATTGAAGTTAGAGGGCCAGAAGCGAGATATCTTCAGTGCTTGTTGAGAGTGAGAAGGCACACACCATTCTGAGTGATTACTCGCATGCGAAATGTGAACAGCAATCAGAAATGAGGGTGAAAAACAGAAGCCAGGGACAATGAAACTTGCAACACTCCCCTGCACCATTGCCAGCATATCAGTATAAACCTTTGGTTGGACAAAAGAAAAATAGAAGTACAAGGGCAAAACTATTTTTTTATTAAAATCATTTTGACTACATTTTAATCAAGAAAATGTAATGCTTCATGCATTTAGCTGAACAATTCATTGTTTCTTTTCCTTGAATTCCATCCAGTTCATAGTAACTGCTGTTGATTTATGGAAACTGGCAGCATCTCAAATGTGTAGGTTACGAGACCTTGGAGGGGAAATAATCATTTCATGTACAGCCCTTGCCCTACTCCCACATGACTCTAACCATCTCCTGGCCAGTTGTGACAGTTATACCTTGGACATGCCGTTCACAGATGGACACTTTTTTGGATGCCTCTCCCCTGCCACCCCCTGATTTTGTTTGTCTCACTGCTAGTGGAGGAAAGGAACTGTCAACTTTCCCTTGCTTGGAAGGCAAGTTGCTAATCCTCCACCTTGTAAAATCCCGAGCCTGAGGATCAAAATGAACAAACAAAACCAGAAAGCAGACTCTTCTCCCTTCAGTGACACTGATTAAAAAAACTCATGGTTTTGAAAGCTTTGCTGAACCACTCTATATTTGTAGTTTTCAGTATTTTGTATTGCTCCTTGAATTTGCATAGTGAGTACCCGTACGAGTAGACTCATTTGTAACTCTGTTATGTGTCAGAAGAAATATGAAGATTTTCCCCTCAATTTAAGAAGGACATGGAGCTGTTGGAGCAGGTCCAGAGGAGGGCCAAGAGCACCCCCTCTACGAGGACAGGCAGGGAGCCTTGGGGCTCTTCAGCCTGGAGAAGTGAAGGCTCCAAGGAGACATTATAGCGGCCGTACAGTACCAGAAGGGGGCCTCCAGGAAAGCTGGGGAGGGACTTTTTATAAGGGCATACAGCAACAGGATGAGGGGAAATGTTTTTAAACTGGAAGAGAGTAGATTTTGACTAGATATTAGGAAGATATTCTTTACTATGATGATGGTGAGACACTGGAACAGGTCATCCAGTGAGGCTGAGGATGTCCCCTCCCCAGAAGCATTCAAGACTGGATGGGGCTGTGAGCAAATTGGTCTAGAGGGAGGTGCCCCTGCCTATAGCAGGGTGTTGGAACTAGATGATCTTCTAAACCAAGCCATTCTATGATTAATTCTATGATTCTATGTTGAAGTGCCCTGTCTGTCCAGTGGGCTCTCAGCCACTCAGACAACCAGGATGCAGAGCAGTTACCAGAGAAGAGACAGAGCAACAAATGGTTGTGGAAAGGAAGAGTCTTGTCCAACACCAGAGAGACCAGAGGCAGAGTTCTCCTTTCTTTTTTCCTATTTTCTCCCTTCCCTCCCTCTGTCCATGCAGAATTACTGACAACAATAGCAGTCCTCATATCCTACATTCAAGTCATTTTCAAACTGAAATAAAAATCCCATTGCCACTCTTCTTCCATTAAATTAGCTCATTTTAAAAATTATTATTATTGCATCCTTCTTGAGTTCATTTGTCCTTTTATAACCAGTTGAGTTTTACCTATGGTGGTTTACCCCATTGTGGTGGGATGACAGTGGTGGGGGCCACTGGGAGAGCCATTGATTTATCCCAGGCAGCTCCCCTCCTCCAGCACCTCCAGTCTGATGCCAGCACACTTCATGGCTGCCAGCACACAGTGACTGACTGTCTTCCTTCTCCCTGTTGACTCCATTCGGATGCAGTGAAGCTGGCTCTCTTCTCTGGGGCACTGGTAAGGCATTAGGCAGGAGCACTGCATCTGTGATTCTGGCAAAGAATGTGTTGGAGTTTTAGCTGCAAATTTTATGACTAAAAACATGTTATTACCTTATAGTTTGACAACCTTTCAAAAGCCAACAGGGAAAAAAGCTATTGCAGGTTCATGATACATTACAGTATGCTTAAGGTACATGGTATCTTACGGTCAGAAATCTTAGTGCACTCACTAGGTAGCAGGACATTGGGAAGCAGAGACAATAGAAGCTTTATGTATCAGTTTTTGCAACACTGACTACAGCAGCAGAAATGAAGTATCTAACTATTTTTATCCACTAGTTTACCGTGACCTTTCTTCTAAACAAAAATATATTAAGCTGACTTTCTGTTTGCAATTATCTTTGCACACAATGTTGCTGTGAAATGGAGTCTTAAGGTCTGTATTGTGCCAGCTCCTATTTCATTAGAGCTCCCTTTATGAATGCTAAACTACCTGCCTGCTGGCCTGTGGTAAAACTCAGTCCTGCCGGTTATTTCATTACCTATTTCTGATCTAATCAGATTCTGACTCTTTACATTCTTTCCCAGAAATTCCCTGGGCAGGAAACTAAATTCCTGCCTCCCCTCTCTTAAAACAAATGAAAAACATGCATTTTACTCAGTTCAGCTTCTTTCGCATGGTACTTCTGTATCTTCTGCCTCTGTGTTGATACAGTCGTGATACAGTAGTTGATACAACTACTAATTAACTTCCGTTTCCTAATTGTGCATACTCATGGGCAAGAATATTGGTGAGGAATTTTTTCCAGTTAAAACCTCTTGAGTACCACAATGAAAATTTAATGTCCTTTTCTCCCAAGGACTCTTGCTTACTGCACAGGGCTCCTCTGTGGGTCTCTGAGATAAAAACACTGAGATGATGGCACTGAATCCAGTCTTAATCCAGTTTCATGGTGGGAACAGAGCTAGGCTTCTTAGGGGCTCTGGTATAAATAAGCTAAGTGTTTTTTGAAATCATAGTCATCTACAGAGGAGCCCACCCTGCCGTGCCCCCTGAAGGGCACACCTGATCCTAGTCAGTGCTTCAGCCCCGTTTGAAGCAATACCTTGTGCAGTAGCTTTAAGCCACATCCTTCAAATCCGTGCTGTATAAATCATCTTGCAAAACAGAGGTTTTAAGATTGCTTCACATTGCTGTTTCTTTTTTTTCTTTTTTTTTTCTTT